ATTTGATTTCCGCTGTATAGACTTGATTTCATTGACGACGGATTTCTGCATTGCATAGACTCATTGACCATTGATTGACTTGATTTACTTTGACCTGCATATTGATAGCATCGCCGTGCTTTGATTTCAGTTGTAGGCTTTGGTGACCTGCTGGGCTTTGTAAGCTCATTATATGTGGTTTAAATTTTTAGGTTCGAGCAAGGCAACTGGAATGGAGTTCGATCAGAATGTTAGACGAATCCTTTCACTATATATTCTGGGGCATCACAGCTGAATTGGTATTTTTAAAAAAAAAACTTTTTTAAAAACACAATTATATTTTTGGATTTTTCAATAATTAAAAAGCAAGCAGTACTATCACTCGATGCGGAAGCTAATAAGCTTATCAAAAGTTATAATAATGATGATGATGATTTAATCAACACAACGTAATGTCAACCACAAATTTTCAACGAGCAATTTTCAAGAAAATAAATCGTAGAAAAATAAAGAACATAAATGAAAATTATAATCAACATAATATATAGAATTTTATAATGATCCGTTAAACAATAACATACGTTCATTCCCCGGGGTCCTCTTCTCCTAGTAATGCACTAAACATTTAGTAGAAGCCTATATAATCTTTTGACCAACCCGACGCGGCAGAGAAAGGAAGTGAACCTCAACGGTCTTCGAGCTAGTTATTTTCTTCCTAGAGCAACCCAAGAATCCAAGCAAGACACTCAGAGGAAACAAGGCAAAAGCTAACCCAAAGCAACCATGTGTAAACCCCTCACACTCCGCCATCACACTCAACTTCTCCTTTCTCCTTCCCAAAGCCCTCCAAGATCTCTTGACCAAGCTCTCTCCTAAAAAAAAACAAGTTTAATTAGAGAGCTTAAATATAAGGCCTCACAAAAAGCCCGAAATTTTAATTATGTCAACATTGATTGCACAGTAGAATCAAAGATCGTACAGACAATTAGTTTAAATATCCATGTTAGTACTGTATAAAAAGTAAGGTATTGTATGATCAATTCAGGTAATTGAACTGATCATCCACTACGATATAAAGCATCGTGTAGTACGATTAGTTCAAATGACTTGGATTAGCATCTCATACGATTGGTGATGAATAAATATCATCCCATACAAAGATCTGGTTGTACAGTACAATTGGTTCCAATCGTCATGTACGATCTAACTGTATCAATTAATCCAAAATCGTTCCACTAATTACATAATTAATTTAGACAAGTTTTAATTATATCGTACATTACGATACCTATCGTACAGTAAGATTAGTGCATATTTTGAATTTCAAAATATTACCTAATTGTGATTAATGGTTGATATTTTGATTTCAACTAATCGTCATGTATGATCAGGATCATATAGTGCAATTGGTTCAAATAACTTTATTTATCATAATTAGCCATTTTAATAATTATTTGAATAGCTGGTCATACAATACTATATGTAACGTATAGTACTATTAATTCAGAAAAATTAAACTTCTAATTTTCTCACTATCTTACTCCTTTGAGTATGTTTGTGCACGATCACCAAGTTTAGCATCCACCAAATATATGATTCAACTCAAAAAAATATAGAAATAAATAAAAGAAGAAATACACTCTTCAAGGCACTTAACCATATTTTACCTAGTCTCGAGATGATCAATTTGCACAGTGTACATTGGACTTGAAATGTTAATGCACAAGAAAATAGATATACAATAATAACAATAACAGGAGATAGCATAATAGAGAATCCAATAATATTTATTATCATCAAAATCTCAAAAGTTGGGTCCAGATTTGCAACAACCCTCTATGATAATTTCAATCCATGTGCTTATAACAGATCCTATATTAATCCTTGACATGTCCATGTCATCATAAGATATTGATGACACCTTAAAAGTACAAGAATCGAGCTTAAAATTAACTTAAATGGCCCCAATAATGTTTTAGTCTGTTGACGTCCAAAGTTGAGCATAAATTTCATATTTTTTTATCAAGAAGGGATGAAATTTGGACGCTAGATCCCTGGCACAATTCCCTACAACTTTATTCTTCATCGCGTTGGCTAATTTGAACCCTATACAATCCAAATGCTGACATACTTGAAACCAAAATCTGAATTTTTAAATCATCCTAATCGCCTTTCTTGATATTTAGGGAAAATTTCCATCATTTTTTTTTATCAGGAAAGTATGAAGTTTGGAGCCTAGATCCCTGTTACAATTCCCTATAACTTTGATGTTCTTTACTTTAGCTAATGTGAACTCCCCACTATGAAATGCTTATAAAATTTTAAGAACATGTTTTCTGCATTTCTAAAATAAGCTTAATCATTTTTTTCAAATTTTGGGGTTCCTCGTTTTTATCAGACTGATAAATTTGAAGCTAGATTCTTGACAAAATTCTAGGGGTGTCGATTTTTGACACGACCCAAGCCAGACCCGGAAAAATCCGGGTTCGGGTCAACCCAAACCCAAAATAGGTCAAGTTCGGGTTCAACAAATCCGGGTTCGGGTTGACCCAACAACCCGAAATTGACCTGAAAGTGATACGAAAACTCATTTTTGACCCGAAAACCCGAGATTGACCCGTTTTGACCCGAAAATCCGAAATTAACCCGATTTTTTACCCGAAAACTAGCAATTTTGGATCAACCCCGAGTCATTCGTGTCGGGTCGGGTTGACCCGGACCCGAATCGGGTGGGGTTCGGGTCTAGAAACCTGACCCATTTTTAAAAACGGGTCGGGTTCTGGTTGACCTGAATAGTACCGGGTCAATTCCGGGTTCGACCCGAATTGACACCCCTACAAAATTCCCTACAACTTTGGTAATCATCATTTTGTTTAGTTAAAAATAAAAATAATATAGTTTTCATCACCAAAAAATAAATAAAAAAATTGCATAAAAGTAAGTTTTATTTCAACTATATGGGCTCAGCTACATAAATCTTTTTTTTTTTTTTCATTATGACCTATTAAGAGTCAAATTCTCATTTAAACCTTAAAAAAAAACATTTGTAATACCTAATCATAATTTTTTAGATCTACCTCTATCTTTTTTAAAATAGATTAGATCTAATACATCTACCATCATAATAAAGTTATAAGAAGGTGAATGTTTTATGTGGTCAAACCATCTAAGGCGACCCACTCTAATCTTATCTACCACTAAATCTATTTGAAACTTTTCACGTATATACCCATTCTACATTCTACCTCTAAGTATAAAGTCACTCATTCGCCTAAACATCATCATCTTTGTAAAAGTTATAACTTAAATTCATGTTTCTTTTTAATGGCCAACATTCAATGCCATAAAGCATTGTAGGTCTCATCATTATATTATAAAATTTTTCCTTAAATTTGAGAGAAACTATTCCATCACACAATACAATCAATGCATTCCTCCACTTCAGCTATCAAACTAGAACTCTACTAATAATATCTCCATCATTTCAACATCGCTTAGACCAACATGCTCGAGATATCTAAAATATGCACTTTTTTTAATGACTTGATTGTTCAATATTACAATCTTATCGCTATATCTATTATTACTAAAATTATACTCAATATATTTAGTTTTAAATCTAATCAAATGAAAATCTATCAGGATCAAAAGACTTTTCTTAACTAGAGCAATGGACAAAATAATATTAAATATAAATACATAAAAAAGAATTATATAAAATTGAGTTCAACTCAAAATTCTTTATCCATAAGAGGTTTTTATTTTTTCTATCACTATATTGCATAACAAACTTTTCTCTCACCAAGGCTTGAGGTCATTAACATTGCACATTCAAGGCACCTTTTTCTATGTGTATACTAACTTATATACTCTTTGATGGATTTATTCTTTGATGATATAAGGTCCTTCCTACGACAAGCTGAGCTAACAATTTTCAACACCAAGTTTTCAAGGTGAAACACCTCTTCTAACATGCAAGTTATAGTACTTTGGCATTCACCTTTCGATTTCTTCTTACTTCAATAACAACTAACCTCAAAGATTTTATCAAGTGGTCTCCTGTTTCTTTATTCCCACTTGCTCAACTCACCTACCTCAAAAATTGAGGTAACAACCACTTATTAGCCATGTAGTCAACTAGGAGAATAGCATTGGCTCACTAAGAGAGCCAATGGGATTTGACCAATTGCCAATGACAATGAGATCCTGAGTGTCTATAGGACAGAATGTAGCCAATGGCCCATTTTCCCCTTATTCATAACCTTCTTTCTTAACAAATTCATGATTTGTATGTTTGTTATCTCAAGTCATCCATTCATTTAGGGTATTATGCTAATGAAAACTTAAGGCTAATATTCTATGATGACAAATTTCTTTGATTTTCATATCATCAAACTAGGAACAATTATCAATTCTAATAGTCATAGAAAGGTTTGTACCTTCATATGACCTTGGTCCAAATTAAGTGGAAACAAAATCATAGACATAATACGAAAAAAGGAGAACAATTAAATTATAAAGTTGATATATAGTATCTTGCAATTGTAATCAATACCAAAAACATCAAACTTTCCAGGATCCAAACAAATTCTTCATTGAAAGTTACGGCCATCAAACATTCCAATTTGTTAAAACAAAGATATTCATTAAAGATGGCATCTTCAATTCCTTACATTCAACAAGATAGCATTACACAACAAAGGCAACATAGAAACGAGAAAGAAATTACAAAGCGGGATCTTGAAAGCTTATACGGAAGACTTTAAGCCCTCTCACCGCGAATCCGGCGAGCAAGCTGGATATCCTTAGGCATAATGGTGACCCTCTTAGCATGAATGGCACAAAGATTGGTATCCTCGAAAAGTGCAACAAGATAAGACTCAGCAGCCTCCTGCAGCGCAGCAACGGCGGAACTCTGGAAGCGGAGATCCGTCTTGAAGTCTTGCGCAATCTCACGTACTAGGCGCTGAAACGGCAGCTTGCGGATGAGGAGCTCCGTACTCTTCTGGTACTTTCTGATCTCCCTCAGAGCCACTGTTCCTGGCCGGAAGCGGTGAGGTTTCTTCACACCGCCGGTTGCCGGAGCGGATTTGCGCGCTGCCTTTGTTGCCAACTGCTTGCGAGGGGCTTTGCCGCCGGTGGATTTGCGGGCTGTCTGCTTGGTTCTGGCCATTGACGGTAAGGTAGAAGAAGACTAGGGCTTGACGCTGTAAGAAGGATGTGGATTTGGTGATGAGTGGTGGGGTTTAAGAAGAGGAAGAGGGCGGGATCTGGAGTAGAAAGTTTTTGAAGGCGGGTTGCGTGGGTAGATCTTAATCGTTTAAAGTTTCATAATGGACGGTACAGATCTTATTAAGAGGAGCACGCGGATCGTAATCCGCAACCTCCGTTTCAAGATGGCGCATTTGTTATCAAGCAAACCGAGCCAGCAAAAAATATTATACTTATATAACAAAAATAGAATAATTATAGCAAAATTATTTTATAAATGATGAGCTAGGGCTGCAAATGAATCGAACATTTGACGAGTTGCTCGTGCTTGACTCAATAAAATCTCATTTATGTTTGTTTGATAAGCTAAACGAACGAGCTTGAGCATTTTTTATAAGAACTTGATATCTTAATAAACGGCCTTGACCAGTGTGTTGATAGGCTCGTTTTAAGTTGGTGAACAAGTTCGTTAAGAAACTTGATTAGAGCTCAATTATGACTCGTATTCAGCTTGAATTGTCTTGAAATAAATAAATAATTTTAAAATAAATATTCTTAAATTTAAAGAAAATAAAAAAATGAAAAAGTAAAAAAAATCCCGCTACCCGCTCCAAGAAAAAAAATATATCAAAAAAATTTGCTCCGTGCTCCACTCTCTGGTCTCCACAATCTCACTATTCGTGATTTTAGTCTCAACTGGATTACATCAAGGGTCAGCCTTAATCATATTTCTTTTTGCTTTAGTCATGGATGTTCTTACAAGAGGATGTTACTTGATGTATGTTTTTTGCAGACGATATTGTTCTTGTTGATAAGACTAAAGAGAGAGTTAAATGTAAACTTGAATTATGGAGGTCATCCTTAGAGTCTAATGATTTTTCGTTTGAGTATATCTAAAATCGAATGCATGAAGTGTAATTTTAGTAGTAATAGATATAGTAGGGAGTTTGTGACTTTGAGCAACAAGTCATTAACAAAAGTACACGTTTTAAATATATTGGGTCTTTAGTTCAGAGTGATGATGAAATAGATGGGGTATTATTAGTTGAATTCAAGTTGGATGGTTGAAGTGGAGGAATGCATTGGGCTAGTTGTGTGATAGAAAAGTATCACTGAAACTTAAGGGAAAATTCTATAAGATGGTGGTTATACCTGCAATACTTTAAGGTGAAGAATGTTAATCATTAAAAGAGAAGCATAATATTAAATTAAGTGTTGTAGAGATGAGGATGCTCAGGTGGATGAGTGGCTTTACTTTAAGAGATATGATACAAAATGAGCATATATGTGAAAAGGTTGGAGTGGCTACATTGGCAAATAAGATTAGAGAGAGTCATCTTAGATGGTTTGGTCACATAAAACGACGGCCTTTTGATGACCCTATTAGGAGAATAGATGTATTAGATTTGGCCTATGTTAAGAAAGGTAGATGTAGACCTAAAAAGACTTGGTTAGAAAATAATAGAAATGACCTTTCTTTATTATATTTAAATGAGAATTTGACTCTTAACATGACAAAATGGAGAAAAAGAATTCATGTAGCCGACCCTACTGAAAGTACGAGATGCGCCAAGAAGGGGGTGAATTGGATATTTAAAAACCTCTTTAACGAAAAGAAAAATCTTTTTTATAACTTGATGCAAAAGCGAATTACATTCATGATAAAAGATAAATTATTAATTTCAGCCACGTATTAAATCACAACAAAAATAAATATGGAAATAAAGTGCAAAAATAATAAAAGAAAGCACACACCAGATTTATAATGGTTCGGTCAAATCTTGACCTACGTCTACTCTTCGGAGGCACCCTTCGAGTATTGCACTAAACCTTTAATGACTCTCCTTTAGCCCCCACAGCTAGGCTGAGATTAATTATATTTTTATTTTAAATAGACAACAATTTTTTTTATAAATTTAATTTCATTTTATACCTTCAATAGAATGAATTTTTTCATAAACAAGAGCTATTACACATTTGTTAATGTTTGCTAGATTGTTTGTTAAAGATATTCATGAACAAATAAAAGATGAATTATAGATCGTTTGTTCGTGAACGAGCTCATTTGGTAGCTCGAAAATACTAGTTATGTATTTATTCATGATCTTGCTCATTTGATAGATCAAGAATACTCATTAGAATTATTCATGAACGTGCTTGTTCGATAGTGTAAAAAAATTCGTTAAATATGTTCACGAACATAGCTTGTTAAGACTTATTTGCTTAAAGCTCGACAAACACTAAACGAACCAAACATGAACATCATTAATTTAAACAAACAAAATATGAACACAAATAATAAGTCTCGAATCAAACACGAACCGAACTTGAACAAACTAATAATAAACGAACTCAAACATGAACACTCACATACTCGGCTCAGTAGCCCTAATGATATCAAAGGATTTATGTCATGTTATTCAAGGATCTTTTTCCTTAAACAAAATTTTATGCATTGAATATCAATATATATGTATATGTGTGTGATAGACTTTATGCATCATGATCTTGATTAAATGTACTCTTATCGATAATATCAAATATCTACATAAGTTATTTACCATTAAATATAAACTTTATTAAGTGAAATGATTTAACATTCAAATTATATTCTAACAAACATTATATTTCATGTCACACGCAAATAAAAAATATATATTATTTTACTATTCATGCACGATCTAGTTCTTGATTTTAATAATGATAGCTTACACATATACATATTACTTTTTTCTTTCTGTCATTAAATTCAATTGTAGGTTTCGTGTAAATTATTTGACTTATTACTGACCCTAACATATTAGTATATGTTTTGGTTTCACGAAAAAGTAAGGCTCCAGTTTTGGAGAGTCCGAGTTATGCTAAGTAGTAGCTATATTTTTTAGAAGTCATAAATATTTACTTTAATAATCATGATAAATTATATTTTGTTGACATATCTTAGTATGTGCTATGATTAGCATATATGATTACTTTAATATAATTTGATTAATCATTTTCATTTATATTGTTTGTTCTTTATTGATAAAATATTAGTGACTTCATATCTGGTTGTATAAAATTCAAAAATTCTATAAATTTCTTCCAAATAGAATATGGATGCTTATATATAAAGTGACCAGTGGTTTTAATTAAATATATATGAACTAAGAGTTTTTCTTTTGTAATTACTATCTACTCTATTGTGATCCATTGTGGGTTAAGAACGCACTTAGGCGGGCGCTACATGTGTAATATAGTATTAAAATAATGAATTTTGAGGAATTGATTAAGTACATAGGCATATGTTGATCAGTAGAAGAATGATATATCTAGATTGGGTAGCCTAAAGCTGGGCAATATTTTCTTTTCTAACCATTTTGTATGCATCTATATTATTATGAACTAATGCATTAATACTTACATGATGATAAGCATTGTTTTGTAGATACATTATGAGAATATTATAGTATTGGCCATATGGAATCTCAAGATCAACCAATGGTTAATGGACATATTAAAGGTTAAGGCTTGCTTGTGTAAAGTATAATTTTAGATACGCCTTTAGATTTGGATAGGCCCTGAAACATCGATCAACAATAGTTGGTGGCGAGTGTCGGTCACGATCAACATCGAGCTTTACTGATAGTAGACGTAGGAGGCGTGTTTAAGTGCTAATGAATACAGTTTTGAAATCTTTGAATTTTCTCTAGAATCCTCCTCAATAAGCATAAATATAATCTATTTAAATTTTTTGAAAAGGGCCATCTTATCATTTTGACTAGGAATCAAGCCAATCTATTTAAACATGCCATATTGGCTGCCTTAATTATTCAATATTTTGAAGGCCAAACTATAAAAAGGAACTAAAAATAAGTATAAGAAGTGGATGAATAAATAAATTTAGGAAGGAACCAATACGGAGAACAGAAGGCCATATTTTAAACTCTTAGAAACCAAAGCTTAATTATATGGTTTCAATTGAACAAAATAATACTTTATTATCCGGTTCAATTGAAACCTGAATTTAATTATGCGGTTCAATAGAAACCAAAACTTAATTATCCGGTTTTAGTAGAAACTTTTAATTCTCCAATTTCTATTATGTGATTTTTTTTTATTTGTTCGCTTATAAATCATTATTTAACGATATTTAAATTAGATTAAAATATCATCTAACTTATTTTTTTATGTTATTTTGTCATATATATATTCTTATATTTAAAAAAATTTAATTAGTAAGTATAAAATTTAATATTTACCAGTTCATTATTAATAAGAATACTTTAAGTGAATTGGTTGTTAATAAAATTTTAAATTAAGATTTAAAATAATAATTATTATTTTAGTTTTCTATATGAGTAATAATTTTTTTGACAAAATTTAAATTGTATATTATTTATAAATTTCATTTTATTTTTAAATTTAGTAAAAATAAAACAATTGTAAATTCTTTGTGAATAATTTGTACTAAGTATTTATAGGTTAAGAACGCACTTAGGCGGGCGCTACATGTGTAATATAGTATTAAAATAATGAATTTTGAGGAATTGATTAAGTACATAGGCATATGTTGATCAGTAGAAGAATGATATATCTAGATTGGGTAGCCTAAAGCTGGGCAATATTTTCTTTTCTAACCATTTTGTATGCATCTATATTATTATGAACTAATGCATTAATACTTACATGATGATAAGCATTGTTTTGTAGATACATTATGAGAATATTATAGTATTGGCCATATGGAATCTCAAGATCAACCAATGGTTAATGGACATATTAAAGGTTAAGGCTTGCTTGTGTAAAGTATAATTTTAGATACGCCTTTAGATTTGGATAGGCCCTGAAACATCGATCAACAATAGTTGGTGGCGAGTGTCGGTCACGATCAACATCGAGCTTTACTGATAGTAGACGTAGGAGGCGTGTTTAAGTGCTAATGAATACAGTTTTGAAATCTTTGAATTTTCTCTAGAATCCTCCTCAATAAGCATAAATATAATCTATTTAAATTTTTTGAAAAGGGCCATCTTATCATTTTGACTA